GAAGAACACTTGATGATTGGAAAATCATATGGATATTAACACATATTAAGTGTCTAATTGTAAAACAAAAACTAGTTATATATATATATATATATATAATATATATATATATATATATATATGTATAGAATCACTAGATTAGTAAGGAAAAAACTTACAAAAGATCAAGAACCAACTTATGAAGATTATCCTTGAGAGAGAAAGCTTGTTCCTAAGGAAGGAGATGAACAAAAATGAATAAGATGGGATGGGGGGGGGGTTCGGTCGAATTAAAGAGAAGAGGGAGGGAGGGTGAGGGGGGTGGGGTGGGTATGGGGGACATGGAGTGGTTTTCTTGAATTTAATATTCAAGCTTGTATCACTTAATTAAACAATAATACTTTAATAAAGGTGTAATAATCATATAAGACAAAGGTGGTCTTATTAGTTTACTCTTATAAAAAAATTGGTAATTTTTATAAAAGTTGGTGATTTTTATAAAAAGTGTGGTAAAAATGATGTATAATTACTTAATTTGTATCATATAAATTCAAATTATTATAAAAATCATTATCATTAAAAATAATAACACATTACACGAAAGTTAGAATGATTCCTAATTCTTTTTGTTAAAGTTTGGATGTTTAAGTCGGGTAAAGAATTTGTCGCATTTGGTGACAAATTCACCAAAAATCTGAATATGTAACCTTTGTCATGAATTTTGTCATATAGTATAAACTTTATGAACTCAACTACATTGTGTTATGAATATTATTTATACCTAAATAATATATAATTGAATTATCAAATTTATGTTACTAACCCTAATTAGGGTTTATATATTCAATAATTGGTAACAGGAGAGGTACTTTGTATTATAACTTGCCAATAGTACATTAGAAACATTAGGGAATATCACGTTTCTCCTAAAATTCTAATACGAGTTGAGTTGACCTGGCTGACTTTTGTTGACTTTGTTTGACCAAAATTGACGGTTTTCACACTTCCACTCTTCGCCTCTAGATCTAAGCTTAAACTACCGTCTTTTTCTCAATCGAATGCAGACGTCTCTAGCCATCGACCGTCGCCGCCTCTGAAGTCAACAAATCCTTGTATTTTAACTTAGATATGATCTGATCTGATTTGTGATGCTCATGGATCATAAGCTAATGTAAATGACACTCTTAGATCTACTCTACGACCAATGATAACCTTGATGCTCATTATGCATATTAAAAATCTCATATCTGATGTTTTTTGTGCGATTTCTTTATATATGATACCGCCTCCATCTCCGTCGATGACGGCTCCACTACCACCGCCTACCTACCTGTTGTTGCCTTCTACCACTAGAGAAAAAAAAACACTAACCTTATTGCCTCACATCACGATCTTCAGATCTACATTCTACGGTGACAGATCTATAATTTGCGCTTCTAAATCTACGATGTATGCTTACATATCTATGAGCTCCAGTACCTGATCTATGATTTAGGCCTCTAGATTTATGATTTACACCTTCAGATCTATGAGTTTCGATGAGATTGAGGGACCACAACTGATATCACCATCAACCGCCGCCATCGCTTTTGCGCCTCATTGTTCCGGTGAACGACCGACAACTCGCCTCTAGCTCTTTCTATCTGATCTCTAGTGAAACACCACCATATCTACATCAGGTATGTCAATTTTTATGTTGATTGTTTTCCTTCTGTTAAGGTGTGAAATTAATATGTTAATCTCTCATTTGTTGCTATTTTTTCTAATCGTAGTTTTACATGCTATTAAGTTGTGAATCAAAATTTGTTTTCTTATTTTATGGTTGTTTACTTGTTATGGCATGAATGAATTTAAAATGTCTGTTATTATGCTAATGTTTTTTCTCAAATAATGTGAATTTAGGTCTTTTTAAGTTGTGAATTGTGATGCTTTAATTATTGTTTAGTTGTGTTAATGTTAGTTTTAACTGTTATGAAATAGAAAATATAAGTTTTAAGCTGTGAATTCATTAGTTTTTATATGTTTTAAGTTGTGAATTAGTCTTTGAACTAGCCTATTAAGCTGAGAATATGACTGTGATTTTATAATTGTTATGTATTAAATTGTTAATTTATTACATTAAGTTGTGAATTTTATGTATGAAACTGTGAATTGACTGTAAGGATGTGAATTGATTGTATTAAGCAATTAATTAACTATATTAAGTTGTGAATTTTGTGTATTAAGCTGTGAATTTATTATCTTAAACGATGAATTTTTTAAATTAAATTGTGAATTGACTGTATTAAGCTGTGAACTGATTGCATTAAGCTGTGAGTTGAGTAAGCTGTGAATTTTTTTTAAAGAATTTTGTGTTTGCTTCTGAAATATGAAAAGAAAGAATCATTATACACATATATGATTTTCTCTAATTTTAACTAAATTATATAAAATTTAAACTATGAATATTGTGTAAATTTAAATTTAAAAGCAACACTAGAAACCATATCTAAAGGTATAAATGTTAGTTTTAAGTTAAGAATATGACGTTTCTGTTTGTTAAACTGTGAATTTATTGTATTAAGTTGTGAATTTTGTGTATTAAATTGTGAACTGACTGTATTAAACTATAAATTGACTGTATTAAGATATGTTTTTTTATATAAAATTTGTGTTCAAATATGAATTATTTATGTTTGAATGTTTGTATTAATTTTCTTGTAAATATATTTATTTTTTGTGTTGTATAAATATGTAAGAATGTATTAGTTTTCATAATTGTTTTGCATTAAACTCTAAATTAGTGAATTAATAGGTTTATTAAATTGTGAACGTCGTATTTAAACTCTCAATATATGATTTTATATACAGATATAATTTGGATAGAAGGATGATTGTGATGGTGGCACTTATGGTTGATGGTGACGTGTGAGTAGTTGGTGTTGGTGGTAGTAGAGTTTGAGTTTGACTTCTTTAATTATGTGAATTACTATATAATTGACTGTATTATGTTATGTTGTAAACTTTATATATTAAACTAAAAATAAACTGTATTAAGTTGTATATTTTATATAAATTTTATGTTAAAATATGAATGAATGTATGCATGAAAATATTAAACTGTGTATTAGTGAATTAATGTGTTTATTTAAACTGTGAATACGATTTTTATATACTATGAAAATGTCTTATACATAATATTTATTTTAAAGAAATCTACAATTTAGAAAAAACAGAAAATTGAATTTGTCAAGACATAAATATATTTTTTTATTAAAATTTTTTATATTTGGCTACAAAAATAAATTGATATGTATTAAAAAGTATTACCAATGAAATGAGAACTACAATCTTTGTTCTATTAAGCTGTGAATACGATAAAAAAAGCCATTGAATTTAGTGTTAGTCAAGCGGTGGTCCGACGACGGTCTGGCGGCGGTCCGATGATGTCACACCCCCAAACCGGAACGGCGGAAATGTTCAGGGTGGATGACGTCATGTACATTATCACAACAATTGTATAATAGTAATCAAAGAAACAACAACCATTGTATTGATAATATTGTATTTACATTGTGTTCAAAACATTGTTTGCTTGATATCAAAATTATAACAAAAGCTAAGACGTGATGCTACTATGCTCCATCTTCGTAACACATGTGAGGGTACCTGTCCACTAATTTCCTGAGAATACAAATGATTTGAAAAAGTGCCAACATTTAAGTTGATGAGTTCATAAGTATTTTCTTTGAAAAGATATGTTCTTTGTAATTGAAAACATTAAAGTGTTCTTCCAGAAAATCCAATATTTTCTTAGTAAATAAGTTATAGCCTTAGTACTCTAAGACCAAAAAGTATAAGTTTCTTATGCTTAAAATTTATAATGCGAAGTTCTAATTTATGTAATTGGTATGACCCGTACTGTTACCTCCTATGATTGCTTAGTGTATACAAATTATATATAATTAAGATCGAACGGACAGTCGATTGAGTGATTCTGCCCTAAGCCCACAACCAAACAAGGAACAGGAAGTAAGGCGGAAATCACACATTCCACTGCCTATTGGATCTTTATATTATATAATTCTAATGTATACATTAGTAATCATAGACTTTAGCAATAAGGGTCATCGATATATGTTTTTCTGAACTTCTATTCGTACCGTATTAGTAAGTAGTATAATGTATTGCTTTTTGTGTAACTGTGTGTAAGTCTAGAAATCCCGTAGCTTCCTTCTATAATTCCTTAGTTTACACAAGTTATATAAAATCAACGTTCAATAGGTCGTCGAATGTAATGGATCTTCCCTAAGCTCACAACCAAACAAGGAACATGAAGTAAGGCGGACCCAAAAATTTTAAGTCGATCGGGTCTTATTTTTATATAACTCTAGCATATACACTAAGAAATTATAGACGAAAATATGATTTTATGTTGTCCTAAAATCGATGTGTATGAAATATTGTACTTGCAAATAACGTAAGATAGTTTTATTATTTAAATAAAACCATTGAAAGTATGTTTGCCCTGTAATTCAATTGTAAAGTTAATGTTCAAATAAAATTATCTGAAAATATATTACTCCGTAAATATGTCGTTGTTTTCTCATTGTGAGTTCTTATAACCATACTGACCCAGTCGGCCTGATCGCGACGTTCTTCAGGGTTCGAAATGTTAACGACATTTGTCACCCCAGACCCGTCGGCCTAACTGTAGCTAACAGTTAAGGTGTGGGATTGTCAGTCCTAAATAGATCTATACACAAATATCTCGCTATCCCTACAAGAGACTCTGAGTATAAGGCAGGACTTTTACTAGTACTTAGATAAGTACGCGAAGACGACTCACAAATTGTTTCAACGTGTTTACGAGTAATAAACTGAAAACCCTTTTAGTACGTATGTTTTGTTTCCGTATTGTAACCTGAACTTTTTAAAATAGTACGTATGTTCCATAAACTATACCTATTATAGTTTATATGTTTGTTTCCGTTGATATGAAAACTGTTGCGTCTTAACATGTTTTGTAAATAATTGTAAATTTGATAGTAACAATGTTTTGTGTATTTAGTAAATTTCACGTTTAAATGCATATTAACGGTAAGAAAACATAATAAGCAATTTATATTTTTAAATACAAGATTTCTTGTAATTTACTTTTATTCCCCCCTAAAACAATTTAAAAATCGTGAAAACGTAGCATAATAAACTCGCCTCGAATGCGTGTTTTTGGTTGGGTACAACTTGGTCGTGATGATCCTCAGGTTAGAACACGTATAATTTCCAAAATCCTAATAATATTTAAACACATAATATTGTGTTCAAATTAGTTAATCTAATAAATTAAAGTGTTAACTAACACTTGTTTATATTAAATACTTACCAGGTACAAAAGAGTTCCTGGGAATTTTGAATGCAGATGTGAAGTGCTCTTGGGTATGATATGAAGATTTGAAGGTTAACTGGGTAAGTGCTTTGAACATATGAAGTTTGCCTTATGAACTTTGAGAGCAAATGGAGGATTTCGGCCTTGAGATGTAAATTGTGAGGTTGGTTCTCGGTTATGTATATATATGGGATTGAAATTGATGTCATGTTTACGTTGGGATATGTAACTTATCCTCTTGGAAAGAGTATCAACCGCCTAAGTGACTAAATATCCAGATATTTTAGGTGGTTTTCGGCCATAAAGGGGGTAGATTTCGGTCTAGCATGACCGAAATCACTTAGCTTACCCTCAAAGTTATTGTTTTCGGTCCTAGCTCCCAAAAGGAATTGTTTTCGGATTTATATATATATATTTATATATATATATATATATAATATATATATATATATATATATATATAGCAAACCTTATCAAGAATGAGATTTCGGTCACACTTAGACCGAAATCCCCTTTTGATCTTTAATTCCAACCGAAAACCTATTTGTTGTAGATTCCTTGGACGATAATCTCTATTATAAGGTATTGTATTATGGTGTTAACTTTAAACTTTTGTCTAATGTTGATTTATACTAACCTAAATTAACTTAGATTTCAATCCAAGCTTAGTTATTAACTTATAAACATGCCTTCATGGTTATAGATGACACAATGCATCAAGGTTTCAATGTGGTTTCACTTGTACTCTGTTAGGGTTTAGACCTTGCTTGCTCTAATATTTTCGGATTGTGACAGATGATGGTCCGACCACTTTCCAACGAGTGACAACTAGTTGTAAACTAGAGAATGAAAAAGTTTGCTTAATATAATATTAATGTTTGATTTGTCCAAAATACACTTAATTAAAACATTTTAAAAAAATGGTTGTTAGGGTTCTTAATCTTTTTGGGTTCTCATTTGAACCACTCCCTATATATATATATATATATATATATATATATATATATATATATAAGATTTGTTAGAATGGGGTCCCTATATTATAGAATAATGTATAAAAAATCCCTAACTGACACATATTATATATATATATATATATATATTATATATATATATATATATAATATATATATATATATATATATATTATATATATAGAGAGAGAGAGAGAGAGAGAGCTTTATTTTCAGTGAGGACTATGAGGACTAATCGTGGTTGTTCATTTAAAAAACGAGTGGCTATGATTTTTTGCAATTTATTTTTATTTTAATTAATACCGTCGGTAACATTTTTGTCATTATATCCAAATTTTTGGTATCTTCCTGCGAAGGGTAAATCTTTTGTAGGCATGATTGTCCATCTCATTTTAGAAAACCCTTCCCGATATCTCACTCCATCCCCCCTCCCCCTTATAACTCCTTCTTCATCGATTCTCACTGTTATCATTAATTGATCATGAATTCTTCGTTCGAGCTCGAAATATTGTTCAAATCTTCCTTTTTAATCTTCATCGTTGCCTTCTTGCTGTTATGGAAGCATGTAATTTTATGTTTTTAGTTTTTATGTGTTTAAGTTCCTTTGTCTTCTGTTTTTGCTTAATCGAAGTTCTTAATGCATCATATTGTGATCATTGTTGTTCAAATTGTTCGATTACTTCTCCTTGTTTTATTTTTTTCGTTTTTATTATTTGTGAAATCCTAGTTCATTGTATATTCGATATTCGTGTTTTTCTGTTTGCTTTGCTTCAATTTTATATTAATCGAAGTATTTTAAGTTTTGTTTATTGTTTATTGTTGCAGAAATTATTAGATTAGTTGATATTATCACTTTTAGATATCGTTTTTTTGTTTATGTAAACATAATTTTATCAAATTTCATGTTTATCTGTTTGTCTTTAACATCAAATATTAGTTTGTTATGTTAATATTTTGTTTATGATGATTAGTTATTGTGTTTCTATTGATTGGTTTTCAGATATTGATTCATGTTTGTAGTTTCTATGTAGTTAGGGTGGTGTTATTATCTGTTTATGCTTTTACTTAAAAATGATTCAAAAAAATGTAGTTGTTATCTATCTACATATAAGGAATTCATAGTTTTTTATTTTAGCACTATTAAATATCACTTTAGATGTTTACTTTGTTATCTTACGTAACCTAAGTTATTCTTTATGTTGGAAATATATTTTGTAATCAATGAAATCATAATACTCTATTGAATTTTTGTTTTCTTAATTCTTATCTACAACAATTGTTTTTTTTATTCCTTGATTTTGTGTTGATATTATTCTTTTTTAACATCATTTTCTATTGTGTTGTATATATATGTAGTTGAATCAAAGAAAAGGAAGAGATTATCTCTTCCAAAAGATGAAAAAGATAATTTTGTTGATCTTTCTTCTAACATAAAGGCTTCATTAAGGTTTAATTTTTTGGTAGATATTTTATCTTCTTCCAAGGGAACTTCATCAGTTAAACTTGTTAAAGTTAAAAAAGTTTCCAAATTCATTACAAGTGTGGACGAAGATGATGATTTTGTTTCCGCTCCTGTTGTTGGTCAAGTAAATGTTACGAAGGCTGAAATTACATATAGGAATCCTTCAGGTTTAATCTCTACTATCTACAGAAGCCTTAATGATAATCGGAAAGTTGTAGTTAAGGAAATAGGGTTTGGATTTATTGAAGACTTTGTGGTTAAGAAATTTAGTAGGGATTGTTCGTGGGTTCATGGGAGATATGTGGAAAAGAGAAATGTTCTTTGTATCAGGAACAATGAGATTCATATTACTATGAGAGGTGTGCATGACATGTATGGACTTCCAATGGGTGATATTCCTATGAATTCACCTAAGAAAATTTGCTTTGCGATTGCTGTTAATTAAAACTGTAGGAATCAGTTTTCTATGATTAGGATTAGACTTGTTAATCTCATAGAATTTTTAGAAAAAAGTACTGATTCGGGTTTTTATGTTTAGAATGAACTTTTTGGTTGTATATGTGACCATTATGGTTAATGATCCAAGTATGACTACATGCCACCAACATTTTTTGGAAAATTTTGAAGAAGAAGTGTCCATTAAAGATCTTGATTGGTGTGGCTTTCTGTAACATCGTGATTTTTCACCCAAATTTTTTTTGAACATTTTTTAACAGAATATGTTAGTGAAAGCCTTATTTTGAATTTTATGAAAACATCACCAATGTTACCTTATTAACAAAAACATCCTTCATCAAAATTAAATTTCATTAAACCAACCACAAACAAGTTCTCAAAACCGTAAGTAAATGAAAACTTAACGACATATCCAAAGTGGTATCATCACTAAAATACACTAATGTAACTACCCTAAAATGCCCCCATCCTCTCCAGGCATCATATCACACCACTTGTTCCAATGCAAGGCAAATAACAAGCCAATAAACAAGTGTCAACGTAAGCTAAGTAAGTCAATCATAGTACAGTGTTATGGAGCACACATATCCCAAATGGGTCAGACAAGACATCATATAAACATGCATTCAAAACTCACTTAGTATGGCATCAGATATATCATATAAACATCACATACATTACTTACATCACATACACCACTTACATCACATGAATCATAGTGAAGCTCATTAATATAATTCATCATTAAAGCCTTTTAGTTACGTTTCATTGTTCATCTTTGTAACTAGTTATTACTTCATATATCGCTATAATAATATAAGATAATATTAATATTCATTTTCATCATTAAAAATTACTCTCCTTTTAATCATCTTTGTAATTGTTATTTTAAGACTTCCTATTCATGGGTCTATATATTCATCCGTAACCCCAAGGTAAGCATCCATTTCACTGCTAATGTGACCGGCACGACCCAATGCACTAAATGAGGCACAACTCTCATCCGTAACATTGCTCCCGGTTTGCTGCGTTAGCTACTCTGACGTTGCATATACACGTGTTGTCGTTAGGGTTCGGTCCAAGCGGTGCCAATTCCACCGTGTTACACCTCCCGAATACCATGTGATGTTTGCGCCGAATTTCCTCGTAGAGCCAACATCCTTGTAGTTCACCTATCTTTAGGTGAACCATGTGTCGAACTGGTCGTCTTGAATAACCATCTGACTGGCTTTCATCATAGACCCAATATTATCTGACTTTCCTCATAGAGTCAGCCCTAACCGGCTATCCTCGTTGAGCCGAAACTACTTGGCTATCCTCGTAGAGCCAACACATATTGGCTTTCCTCGTAGAGCCAACCCTAGTTGGCTTCCCCGAGGAGCCAACCCTAATTGGCTTTCCTCATGGAGCCAAGGCTACCCTTCACCCCGCTAGTGTAATCCCATTTTAATTAATTTATTATTAATTAATCTTTAAATGAATTACACCTTTGACCTCCCTAAGTAATCATGCATATTTATTAACATCTTTTTCTAGCATATTACTTCTCATGTAAACATGCAAACAAGTAAATACAAGTTAAAACATTTTACATCACATACAAGTTCATGCTCATATCATCATTATGGCTCGACAATATCACTAGCATGCTTTGTCCTAAACATCATAGACAAGGGTTTCCAAGAAAACATGGCATGAATCACTTAAAATCAACACAAGGCACTCTTTCTATCATGACCCTAACACACCTCTCACATAAAAAGAATAATAATCCAGCATATAGCATCCTAAATTCTCATACACATAAAGAAGCATAACAACCAATATCATATCACACACAATAGGGGCACATGCAACCTAAATAGCCTAGGTTCATTCCAATCCATCTAAGATATGAAATTCTCTAACAAAGTACTTTAAAAATCCACAAGATTAACTCACCTTTGTCAAAAATGAGTCCTCTCTACTCTTCAAGTCTTGTAGGAACTGAAGTATCAAACCTTACCCTAGTAAAACACAAATATATTATATATATAATATATATAGATAGATATATATATATATATATATATATATATATATAGATATATATATATATATAATATAGCGTTTTACTACCCATACATGCAAATTAGTCATTAGGCAAAATTTTCAGATTTTGACTTGAAACAACAGCCTTCTCAAAGCCACTTTAGTACCACTTATACCTATAAAAATTTCATCTTTTTCACATATTCAGGTAACTCATACTTTTATCTTTAAAAGTACTACTCACACAGGTCCAACCGATTTTTCTACAATTTTCTATGAATTTTGAAGAACTGCATATCCGTGTAGCTAATTTCCGACCAGTCAGTGAAAATAGCGATTTTCACCTTAGTTAGAGACAATACCAGGACCTGGGAAACATCATGGACAAACTAGACCCAAAATTAAAACTTTGAGAGTTTACAGATCACCAATCCGACTTCTGATGATTTTTATATATTTTTTTTCAAAACAGGGACAGATTGGTAATTTTTCAGAATTTCCCAGCAATGCATTTTAAGGGTTAATTGACAACTTAACTTATTAATCCATAACCAAATTCAACTATAAAGATGGAAATTGAGTTATTAACAGTAGAAACATGTCAAGAAGTTAAAGTAACAATTCCAACATCAAGCCATGATTCAAAGTACATTGCCTAAATGGGAAAAACAAAGTACTTTGCTAAAAGAGAAAACACCACTAGGGTTTGAGTTTTCGCCACCATTAAGCATCATATTAAGACCTTTCGGGATTGTTTTGAAGACCTTTTGGATGGCTGAAAACATGGTCTTTTTACAGAAAATTATCCTCTGGAATTTAGATAGAATTCAACATGAGTTTTAACAACAAAGAAGATAATGACTCCAAAACTTTGAAAAATTCATGGACTTGATTAACAACACTTTTAAGTGTGTTCATGACAAACTTTTGGCAGCAACAAACCATCAAAATACACCCAATAAAACTAGAATTTAACCATATGAACATTAAAAGTTTGTAAGGAGGAAGATGATATGATCAATAACACCAAAAAGAAAGGAATTGACAATGCTATTAACTAATTCTCATCAATTGATGAATGGATTTCACATATTTGAGAACTTAAGCAGTATAAAGTGTTAGTCTGATTTGGTGAATATTTAGTGGAGAACTTGATATACAATGGAGATCGACCATTTCAATTAGTTTAACACAGTTTTCTCCTTTTGCATGTTTAGAACCCACTTCCTGAATATTAATTTATTCAAAACTCCACAATTGGTCATACTCCAGGGAATGAATATTGAGTTAATATTGTCATGAAGTGTTAGCAGATTGTCTATAGTAATTGGACATAGCAAGGAGATTGTGACTAACGTTCATAAGTATTTAAATAGAAATTTAAATATTGGAACAACCCACACTCATAGAGATTACTTCATTGATTCAATCACGAGTAATTCTAAGACGATAATATCTTTTATTGTTAAACAGAGAGACATTGAGCTCTTTGCATACAAGTTGGTTGTGCACTAGTCTTGCTGAACTGCTATCCATAAGTGGTAGTTATAACTGGTTAGTCCATGCATGATTTGACTAGTACATGGAAATTGTTTAGTCAAAGTGTATATGTTTCTTCTCCCTTAATAGTATAGGTGATATCATTCGGCCCCTCGATGATTTCATGCTGATATCTAATATGCCTGGTCGGGTCCAGACTGAATTGATGTGTTCAATTAGTAGTCTGATTTGATAATTGGAAATCAAAAATCAGGAAACATAAAGTTGAACTATTAGGTTGATTCATAATCCATGACTCAATTCACAATGATATATTGTAGAAAGAGATGAATAATTGATCACTTATCTAAGGGATGATACTTGATAAGATTAGAGTTCAATAGTTGTTGTGGACAGTACGCTTTGTTCGTTATTCGAAGATCATTTGACCAATAGTAGTTGATGAATTGTCCAAGTGGGATATTATTGGAAATAGGTGTACAATGTCATAAATAAATTGGTGTGACTTTGAGAATAATAACAAAGTCATTTTTGGGTTTCCCTCAAGAGTTAAAATAGCTAGAATGGATTCAAGAGATTAAGATAATTAGTAAATTGATTTCTTACATGTTAATAAATTACTTAGAAACTAATTAGAATTGATAATAATTAATTAGAATTGATTTGGAATTAATTAGAATTAGTCCAGAATGGATTAAAGGTGTAGGGACTGAATGTTAATTGTTTAAAAGTTGAACAAGAGGAGCATTCTAAAACCCCTAAAGAACCCCTAACCTTTCACATACTTCGAGAATCCGATTTCTGTAGTATCCTCTCTCCTAAATATTTCTAGGGTTTTAGTCTTTTGGGTATGAGCCATTAGAAGCATTCTACTATGGGTGCTAGTCCTTCTAAGTGATTGCAAGGAATTCGAGATCTACAAGTGTTTGTGTGACAAATCCGATTTTCTTAAATGTTTGTATTCAAATCCCTCTCACTTAGTTTGTAATGTTAGTTTTAAGAGTACACTATATAATAGTAAAACTTAGCTCCTCGGGTGCATGTACACTTAGGTTTGTTTTTTTAATGATTTTGTTGACTTAATCCAGTGTATAGTTGCATAGAAAACCAAACAGTTGTGTCACAAAGTAATGTTGCAAGTCTTGTGACTTTGAGATAATCAAATTGAATTTGAGTAATTTAGGAAGTTTGGAGAAAAAACTTAAAATCATAGTATGTGGTGTTTAAATTATAGTTGACTTTGGGTTAATCAATAGCTTTGTACTTAAAAGTCTTCGACTCTTTGTTTTACCATTAGATCTTAATGGATAGTTTATAACTTCCATTAACTGAATGATGAAGCTAAGAGGATTCATGCACATCGGTGTGTATTTACATTAATGTTGGTTAATGGTAAGAAGTTAGTATCACAAAGTTAGTATAAATCGCCAACACCGGAATTTAAACCTGAGACCTCCA